TACTGACGCCTATTATTTTAACAGACGTACAGCAAAGCGTATTAATAAGTAAAATAAAAGATATAACTAGTAGTAAAACAGTAAAACTTGTAATTACGATAGAGCCAATGTTAATAGCTGGTTTTATTATAAAGATAGGATCTAAAATTATTGATACAAGTTTACATGGAAGATTAAAGCATATAAGTGCTTATTTGAATTCAGCTTCAAATATAAGTATTTAAAATAAGATCTATAATAAATAATAATTTATAACTTTAATATGGTAAATATCAGACCAGATGAAATAAGTAATGTCATACGTCAACAAATTGATAAGTATGAGCAAGAAGTTCAAGTAGCTAATATAGGTACTGTCTTACAGGTTGGAGATGGTATTGCAAGAGTATATGGCTTAGACGAAGTAATGGCCGGAGAGTTACTTGAGTTTGAAGACCGAACAATTGGTATAGCTCTAAATTTAGAGAGCGACAATGTTGGAGTAGTTTTAATGGGTGATGGTAGGAACATATTAGAAGGTAGTTCTGTAAAAGCTACCGGTAAAATTGCTCAAATACCAGTTGGAGATTCTTTCTTAGGTAGAGTTGTAGATCCATTAGCACGACCAATTGATGCAAAAGGTTTACCAAATTCTTCGGAAACCAGATTAATTGAGTCTTATGCTCCAGGTATTATTGGTCGCCAATCAGTTTGTGAGCCTTTGCAAACTGGTATTACAGCAATTGATTCAATGATTCCTATCGGAAGAGGGCAAAGAGAATTAATTATTGGTGATAGACAAACAGGCAAAACAGCAGTGGCTTTAGATACCATTATTAATCAAAAAAATCAAGATGTTGTTTGTATTTATGTTGCTATTGGTCAAAAAGCTTCATCAGTTGCTCAAGTTGTATCTACTTTAGAAGAGAAAGGTGCATTAGAATACACAATAATTGTAGCATCTAATGCAGATGATCCAGCTACATTGCAATATATTGCACCTTATACAGGGGCTGCATTAGCAGAATATTTTATGTATAAAGGTAAAGCGACTTTAGTAGTATATGATGATTTAACTAAACAAGCGCAAGCCTATCGTCAAATGTCTTTATTACTGCGCCGGCCTCCTGGACGAGAAGCTTATCCTGGAGATGTATTTTATTTGCATTCTCGATTATTAGAAAGAGCTGCTAAGCTTAATAATGAATTAGGTGGAGGTAGTATGACTGCTTTACCTATTATTGAAACACAAGCAGGCGATGTTTCTGCTTATATTCCAACAAACGTTATTTCTATTACAGATGGTCAAATTTTCCTATCTGGAGACTTATTTAACTCGGGTATTAGACCAGCTATTAATGTTGGAATTTCTGTTTCTCGTGTGGGTTCAGCAGCTCAAATTAAAGCTATGAAACAAGTTGCAGGTAAATTGAAGTTAGAATTAGCTCAATTTGCGGAATTAGAAGCATTCTCTCAGTTTGCTTCTGATTTAGACAAGGCAACACAAAATCAATTGTCTCGTGGACAACGTTTAAGAGAAATTTTAAAACAAGCACAGAATTCTCCTATTCCTGTTGAAGAACAAACGGCCATTATATATACGGGTATTAATGGTTATTTAGATGATGTTGATTTAACTCAAGTTAAGGATTTTATTCAAGCTTTGAGGGAAGATTTACGTAACTCAAAACCTGAATTTGGAGAAACTATACGGACTACAAAAAAATTGAGTGAAGAATCAGAAGAATTACTGAAACAGTCGATTGAGGATGTTAAACAAGCTTTTTCAGTATAGCTTTAGTTAGAACCTGGAAATATACAATCAATAATTAGGATTTTGGGATATACTTGTAATTACCAAATATCCTAATTTAATTTTGATTTAAAGTGAGTAAATGATATGCACTATTTATTTGTCAGCTTATATTATTTATATTATAGATATATTCGTAACCATATTTTTCTAGTTTATGAGCTATTTCTGAATTGCCTGTATATATTATATTTCCCTTATCCATAATATGTATATAATCAGGAATAATATAATTTAACAATCTTTGATAGTGTGTAATTATCAAAATTGAGTTATTGTTGTTTCTAAATTGATTAATTTGTTGTGCAATAGTTTTAAGTGCATCTATATCAAGTCCCGAATCAATTTCATCTAGTATTGCTAGCTTACTATTTAGCAAATCCATCTGTAAAATTTCATTTTTTTTCTTCTCTCCACCTGAAAATCCTTCATTAACATTTCTTGTCAAAAAGTTTGACTGCATCTGAATAGTTTGACTTTTTGTACTAATTAACTCAAAAAAAGACAAAGGATCTAACTCTGAATGTTGATTTGCTTTCCTATTAGAATTATATGCTAATCTTAAAAAGTCTATATTATTTACACCTGGTATTTCTACTGGATACTGAAATGCAAGAAAAATACCTTTGTGTGATCTATTTGTTGCTTCTTCGTAAGTTATATCTTGTTGATTTAATAAAATTTTACCTTCTACAATTCGATATTTAGGATGTCCAGCAATTACTTTTGCTAATGTACTTTTACCTGAGCCATTTTTCCCCATTATTGCATGTATTTCTCCTTTATTGACAGATAAATTAATACCTTTCAAAAGCTTATCTTTTGTGTTAATTGTAACTTGTAAATTCTCAATTTTTAACATAGTTTGATTTCTTATTTTGTATTTAATATTTAGCCAATAGTTCCTTCTAATTTAAGATTTAATAGCTTATCTGCTTCCATTGCAAATTCCATAGGTAGTTCTTGCAATACCTCTTTACAAAAACCGCTAATCATTAAACTAATTGCTTCTTCAATATCAACTCCTCGTTGTAAAAAATAGAATATTTGTTCTTCTCCAATTCTTGAAGTTGAAGCTTCATGTTCTATTTTAGCTGAAGGATTCCTCACTTGAATATAAGGAAATGTATTAGCTTGACATAGTTTTCCTAACAATAAAGAGTCACATTGAGAATAGTTGCGTGAATAATTAGCTTTAGGACCAATTTTTACTAAACCTCTATAGCTATTGATAGAATGGCCTGCAGCAATTCCTTTAGATACAATTTTACTTTTTGTGTTGACTCCAATATGTATCATTTTACTTCCTGTATCTGCTTGTTGATAGTTATTTGTTAAAGCTATTGAAGAAAATTCTCCAATGGTACTATCGCCTGTCAAAATACAACTAGGATATTTCCAAGTGATAGCAGAACCTGTTTCTATTTGTGTCCATGAAATCTTAGAATTGTCTCCTGCACATAATCCTCTTTTAGTGACAAAATTATAGATTCCTCCTTCTCCTTCTGAATTACCTGAATACCAATTTTGTACAGTTGAATATTTTATAGTAGCGTTCTCAAGAGCTATTAATTCTACAACAGCTGCATGTAGCTGATTATTACTAAATTGTGGAGCTGTACATCCTTCAAGATAACTTACACAACTGTTTTTATCAGCAATAATAAGTGTCCTTTCAAATTGTCCAGCTTCTTTATTATTGATTCTAAAATATGTAGAAAGTTCTAGTGGACAATGGGTATTTGGAGGAATATAACAAAAAGAACCATCACTGAATACAGCAGAATTTAGTGCAGCAAAATAGTTATCACCAATTGGAACAACAGAGCCTAAATATTTTTTAACTAAATTTGGATATTTATATATAGCTTCAGTCATAGAACAGAAAATAACACCAACTTCAGCAAGCTCTTTTTGAAAAGTTGTAGCTATAGATATACTGTCGAATACAGCATCGACAGCAACATTTGTTAATCGTTTTTGTTCATTCAGGGGAATTCCTAGTTTATTGAACGTATTTAATATTTCTGGATCAATCTCATTTAAATTTTGAATATTCTTTTTATATTTAGGTGTAGAATAATAAGTTATTTTATCATATTCTATTTTTTTATATTCTAATTGTCCCCATTTAGGTTCATTCATTTTCTTCCATCTTTTATAAGCATTGAGGCGAAAATTTTTTAAATAAATAGGTTCATTTTTTTTTGTAGATATACTCTCAACAATGTTTTGATTTAAACCTGGAGGTAAACTCTCAGATTCAATATTGGTATAGAAGCCATATTTATATGGTTGATTTATGAAATTGTCTATAGTCATATTATGATCTAAGTTTTTGATGTTATCGTAAATATTTATGTTTAATATGAATTTTAAATTATATTATATATATTTACATAATTTTAAAGTCAAATCTTGTGAATTATTCATGGATATTAGTAATATATAGCAAGTTATGATTTAATTCTCTAGTATATAATACAGTAGATATTCTATGAATATCATTATATACGTCTTGAATAAATTTCAATATCAAATAAATATAGTATTTCAATCTAAATAGTTTAGTGATTTTTTTCATTCTTACACTAAGTAGTATATGTTTTATTTTTATTCCAATATTTTCTAATATTTGTGAAGCAAAAATAGAAATAAAAATAATTTTTCTTATTGTACTATTTTCATACTGTTTAGATAAATTAAGAAAAGAAAATATTATATCTTCATATGTTGTTGTCATGAATAAAATATTTATAGTGAAAAAATAGTTCATAATAAGTAATACTATCCTGAAATATAATATATGTTTGTTATATGTGTACATAATTATATAATGAATATATGATAGTTTTATTATATAAGTATTGAATTGCAATTTAATTAATAAAAATGTTATATAGATTAGTATAAATAATATATATAAGATATGAAACAAAATTTTTGTATGATTATTGTGTATTTGTTTAATGTATAGAAAAAGAATCCAGTATAAGCATATGCCAATAGTCATATATTTAGAATGACTATATGCTATAACACATAAGTATATAAATAAAAAATAAGTTTTATAGTAGGATTTTAATTTATGTAACCAATTTGTAGGTGAGCAAATATATCGATGAAGTAAAATGCTTTCTATTAAGTTCATATAAGTTTATATTAATGGATATAAATGATTTTTGATTTTATAATTTGTATAATATTAAGGTAGATGGCGAAATTGGTATACGCATCATATTCAAAATGTGACAACTTATAAGTTATGAGGGTTCAAGTCCCTTTCTACCTATATTTTCGGCAATATTAGATACAAAATAATTATATGAGTTTATTAGTTTTAGGTGCAACAGGTACTTTAGGGAGACAAGTTGTTAGACGCGCTTTAGATGAAGGTTTTCAAGTTAAATGTTTTGTTAGAAGTTTTCGTAAGGCTGCATTTCTAAAAGAGTGGGGAGCAGAATTAGTTTATGGAGATTTAAAGTTGCCAGAAACAATACCTCCAACATTATTAGGCATTACAGCAATTGTAGATGCTTCTACTGCAAGAACTTCTGATTTGTATAATGCAGCTAAAATAGATCTGTATGGTAAATATATTTTGATAGAAGCAGCTAAAAAAGCATATATAAAGAGATATGTTTTCTTTTCTATTCTTAATGCTCATCAATATTCTGAAGTACCTCTAATTAAAATGAAAGTGATTATAGAAGATTATTTAATCAAGTCAGGCATAAATTATACAATTTTTAATTTAGCTGGCTTTTTTCAAGGATTAATTACTCAATATGCTTTACCAATTTTGGATAATCAGACAGTTTGGATTACAGATGATGTCAAATTAATTGCATATATGGATACTCAAGATATTGCTAAACTGACTGTTAAAAGCTTATCTTCGGCTAAAACTAAAAATAGAATTTTACCGATGGTTGGTTATAAATCTTGGAGCTCAGTAGAAATTATTGAATTATGTGAAAAGCTATCTGGACAAAGATCTAAAATTTCTCGTATTCCCCTCTTTATTTTACACTTACTTCGTAGATTAACATACTGTTTTCAGTGGAGTTGGAATATATCTGATAGATTAGCGTTTACTGTAGTTTTGACAAATAGTGATAGTTTTAATACATCTATGAGTGAAGTTTATAACCTTTTGCAAATTAATCAAGAAGAAACCGAAAGATTAGAGGATTATTTTAAAGAATATTTTGATAAAGTTATGAAAAAATTAAAAGAAATAAATTATATATCAATTAACCAATCAAATCAGAATATAAACAAAAGTAATTTTTAATTTTATTATGGTACAAATTATATTATGAACATTTTTATTTGTACAGCTTACTTATTAAGTCAACCTAAATTAACAAAAATAAAACATCAAAATTTTTGTTATATATTACTATCTTTGAAAAATTTTTTTGATAATATTCCAAATATTAAAATCAGAGCATTTGCAAAAGGAAAAGCAGCTAAGCAGGTTTTTGATCTCTATAAACAGAAAGATAATATATTGATTGAAGGCTCTATTTATATTAAAAGAATGAAAACTGTAAATAAGAACAAAAAAAAGTCGAAAGTGATCTTTGTTAAAATTCATAAAATTCATAATTTACCTATTTAAATGTATAATAAGCTTATTGACTTATTTTAAGTTTTTACAATTATTATATTAGGATATTAATTATGTTTACTTTAAAAATCTTTGTTTATACGACTGTTATCTTTTTTGTATCTCTTTTCTTTTTTGGTTTTTTATCTAACGATCCTTCTAGAAACCCTAACAGAAAAGATTTAGAATAATCTATATAACTTGATTGCGGTAATAATTAATTAGAGATTTTAATTTCAGACATAAAAGATACAGCTAAATATTTCTGCTTTTCTTTCAATACCGAAATAGTTATTTTGAATTTAGGATTGATTAAATAAATATACTCACAATATACTATTTTTTCTTTTACAGATTCAATTTTTATACAATTATATGTATAAATTTTAAATCTGTAATACTTAATTTGGTCATTTATAATTTTATGTAATTTACCAAACTCAGACTGTTCTTTTCTAAAAAATAAATAGTATGTTTTCTGATTATTTTTCGGATTTTGTAGTTGATAATGATGTACTAGATTACCCTCTACTGGTGATATATTCATATTGTGTATTTCTTTGAGTTTTATTTCTTTTTGATCGTAACTTATTTTATTATGATGAATAAAATAATTAGTTCTTTGGCATATCCACTTTCCTTCTAATCTATCTAAAATATTTTTGTATGTCATTTTATTTTTAAGTGTAATTCAACTAAAATTTGTGCCTATATATATTATATTTTCACATCTATCGTTTGTAAAATATTCAATAAATATAATAGCTTTTTCTTTAAATGGAGTATGTAAATTGATTCCAATACCTGCTTGATTATGATTTTGATATATTAATTTTGATAGGTATATATCAGGCAAATATACAATTTGATATGAGATACTTTTTATATGATTAATCAATAAATATATTGCTATATATTGTGTTAGATATATTTTATATTTGATATTAAATAAGCAATTAGCTGTATTAATTAATTTAGAATTATATGTGCTTTTTTTATGGGTATATTCATCTTTATTATGATTATGCAATAACTTTATAGATATTAATTTTTTAGTAATATCAAATATATTTATTTTCCCAGTGATTTGTATAGTATTTTTATGCAGCCACGGTAAGATGGATAGTATATTAAATACTTGACTGTAGGTGCATGTTATATATGGATATAAATTAATTATGTAATTCATCCATCGATTTGTTATAATATTATCGTAAAATAGCACATGTAAGTATATGGCTAAATACTTTGTAGTATCAGAATATTGAAATGGGATATACTTTAATAGTAATAATAAGTATAGTTCTTTTGAATTTTTTGATTTAGATGTATTGTATGAAGAATGATTATTATTTACTTTTATGTTGTTATAAGAATAATTATAAATTGAAATCAAATGTTTCTCTTCATACTGTATTGCTAATTTTTGAATCGTACTTAATTGATTTTTTTCTAAATTGTATTGTAATGTTATCTTTAAACTGTTTGTTATTATCCTTAGATTTGATGTTTCTTCAAGAGAAAAATTAGAGTTGAGAATTTGTATATAATTATAATTATAAGTAAATTTATAGTAATAGATAATATGATAAGTATATGACAAGTAAATATTAATGTAATCGCTTATAACTTGTAAGAATGATAATTTTATATTTATTGTAGTTGAAGTTGTTGATTGATTTAGTTGAAGTTGTAGATTGTTTATAAAATTCCAATAATGTTTAAACTCTAATATATAAGATCTGAATACTACAAATTTTTTTAGTAAATTTTTGGAATATTTCGATTGAAGTGCTTCTTTAATATATGTTAAAAATATAAAACTGTTTTTTTGCCAAACATTGATACTATCTTGATTATAAATGTATCTTATGTGGTTATTATATAAGCTATATTTTATATATATGATTAATCCTTCTGGAAGAGTAATTACATTGTAAGTACAGTTTTTTATTATTCTTTCTTTTTTTAAAAATGATATACCAGATTCTAATTTATGTAAATTTAATATTTGTTGAGGCAAAATAGTAAGATTCTTTACAATAAAATCATTTAATTGATGAAGGTTTTGTTTTTTTTTAATTTGTCTAGTTTTACATTCTATATGTATAGAATAAATTATACCCTCATTAATTGTAAAATCAAGTTTGTTTACTTGAGGTATAACTTTCATATTAATGCTTGACCATTTATAGCCTCGCAGTAAATACCAAGTATATATTTTATGAATAATATAATTAATTAGTAAGTGGTTTCTAGGTAATCCTAATTGATATTTAAATAAACTTTTTAAAAACTTAGGACATATTTTTAACTTTTTATATTCTTTTATATTTATTTGATTTATAATAGGATATATATTTATATCAAATATAGTATGTTTATATTTTGCATATAATATTGTGTATTTATTAATAACCCTAATAGAACCGGAATTTTTTAATATATGTATATATTTTGCTAAACTTTGACTATTAAGTTTAAAATTTCTTATTCTATTATATTGAGTTTGTTTATAAGGTGTTATATGTTGTAATAAATACTTATTACATCGATTTATTTTTATTCGTGTACGACTTAACTCGAGAGATTGTGATTTTTCTTTAAAGTAAATGTTAGATACCATTGCATAATCATTTGAATAATGTATCTTTTTGAAATTATAAGGTAATGAATAAGCAATAATAAAAACTAAATATAAAAGAATCGATAGCATTTAATGTGTAATCCTGATTAAAAATTATATTTATTGTGTTATTCAATTTATTTAATAATATTTGTTTATAAGGATTTATGCAATTTAATTATATATTAATTTCTTGTTGATTTATATTATTTTATAGCGAACCATGAAATATTGGAATTTAAAAAAATTTAATCAGTCATCTTTAGATAAAACAGGTGTTATACCTAGATCAATTAGTAAACTTTTTGAAAAATTTAAAAAAGAGTTAGATCCAAATGCAGAAGTTGAAGCAATAGAAACATTTAAAGTTGCAAGATATCAAACAGTTACGTCAGTTAAATATCTCGTATTTTTATTTATTATTCCTATTTTTATTAACCAAGTTTCTAAAAGTTTCATTTTTGGTCCTTTTATTAACTATTTATGGAATAGAGATGAACATATTATTTTTCTTAACCAATCACAAGAAGAAAGAGCGTTTGCGGATTTACAAAGGTTTGAAGAAAAGCTGCATTTTGAAATTCTTATTGGTAAGATAGATCATCCTTCTTCAAATTTAATTAACTATAAAATGACAGAAAAAGCCTTAGAGCTAGCTGTAGATTATGCTAATGAAAGTTCTTGTGCTATTAAGAATATCTTAGCAGATTTGCTATCGATAGCTATTTTTATCTCTATTATTATATCTAGTAAAAGACAATTTTCTATATTAAGATCATTTGTGAATGAATTAATATACAGTTTAAGTGATACAGCCAAGGCTTTTCTTATAATATTATTTACCGACATGTTTGTTGGTTTTCATTCTCCTCATGGCTGGGAAGTAATTATAGAAATAATTTTAAGACATTTAGGGTTACCCGAAAGTAGAGATTTTATTTTCGTTTTTATTTCTACATTTCCTGTCGTTTTAGATACTATATTTAAATATTGGATTTTCAGATATTTAAATAAAATTTCTCCTTCAGCTGTTGCAACTTATCATAATATGAATGAGTAAAATACTTGATTTTTTGTATATTTGAGTTTAATATTATTGTTATAAGCATCTGTGGCCGAGAGGCCGAAGGCAGCGGACTCATGTGTGACCCGTTTTTAGGTGTTAACCGTTCTATAATTTATAGATTTTATGTGTTAGCTAACTAAATATCGAATCTTGATAAGTTAATATTATAAAGCAAGATTTGAGTAAACTGTACTTTTTTTGTTGGTTCGAATCCATCTATTCTAAATCATGAATATAATTAGTGAGTTAATTTATTTATATGCCAGCCTTAATTATAAATGAATAAAGCAAACTCATCAAAAAGTTAATATGGTTAGGAAAACAAACCCTTATAAAAAGTACTAATTATTAACATATATTTGATCATAACTATCGAATATATATATTGCCCTTAAGCTTTATTATTATGAGTTAATATAAGTATGATTTTTATTAGCGGCAGTTAGTATATAAAGAGGAACCTACGTTAACAAAGGTTATGAAAAGTACGGAACGGAGAAACTGTTAAGTATAAAATAATATACAAATTGTATAATTAACTATTTATTAAATTTAAGGCAAAAATACAATACTTATCAGCAAGAAGTAATAATAAAGTTATTGATTATAGCAGTTCAAATTATAATTAGAACAGACTTATTACATCTATTAATTGAAATAACACTTAGTTATACGAAATTTATATATAATTATGACTAGTTATATACTTGATACAAGAACTAAATGGAAATATTTACCATGGGATCAAATAAAGCAGAGAGTTTTTGTACTAAAATACAAAATATATCAAGCTTCAAAAATATGTGACAAAAATTTAATATACAAAGCACAAAATAATTTAATCAATTCTAATGAAACCAAAATTATAGCAATTCAATATATATGTAAATCTATAAAGGATACATATATAAATTGGAATAAAGAAAATTATAATATATTAGATGTAGATAAAACACATATTTTTTGTCTTTTATTTGATTGCCAACCGTTAAATAAAATGTATACATCTTTTAGAGATATAATACAAAAGATTGAACAATATATCATCTATTTATGTTTAGAAGCAGAATGGAATGCAAAATTCACATCTATTTTTGATACAAGTATGTACAATCATATATCATCTAGAATAGAAGAAAAGAAACTGATATCTTGTAACTTATATGATATGCAAAATACTCAATTAATGAACTTTAAATATTATATACCAAGTCAATATATCAATATTAGATATATAAAAAAAAGTACAAACGTGTTCATATTTTTTATCTAATATAATAAAATGGTTACGAATACAAAATTTAAATGAACGATGTACAACATCTAGCTTTTCATCTTTTTTAAAGCCGGGTGAATTTATATCTTTTAATTATAGAGTATATATTTTAATATGTAATATATGTTTACATGGAATTGAATGGTTTAATTTCAAATTTGTGTCTATAGCAAAAATAGTATTTAATGCAAACAAGACAAAGATCCTTCGTGATTACATGTTGATGAATTATACAATATGTAATTGTCATAATTCATACTATAGTCAGTATATAAAAAATTTACATATTATATCTGTATCTATACATAGTCATATTAGTCTATATATTAACCAAAATAAAAGATATTTAAAAAATCGAATTTATCATTTTTATTGGGTATTTAAAAAAAAATATAAATTATTAATTTACGATATATATTGGAGTTTAGAATTAAACGAACAAGTATATAATTATCTAATATATGAGTGTAAACATTTGTTGTATAGCAAAGACTCATTACAACGTTTACGTTTGAATAAGCATATACAATTAAAACAATTCATACGAAAATTATTCAGTTTATTAGCCATTTTTTTTGAATATTATAATTTACTAGTGCGTTTTACAATAGTGCAAAAAATGTATAAACTATTTTCTAATATTTTATATTACTGGTACAAAAAAAAGTATAAGAGAATTTGCAAATTACAATTACATAAAAACTGGAATAGTAGATTTTTTGTAAAGTTCATAAGTAATATTAGAGTCAATTTGCTATATATAACATTTTTAAAACAAATTAATAGATAGTAGCCGTATGAAGTGAAAATTTCAAGTACGGTTTTGTAAGAGAGATTTTTAAAGAAATCGACTCTAATAATCCGCCATCTTATTTAGGACGTCGCTGGTTCGAATCCAGCCAGATGCATTTTTCAACTAGTATATCTATAAAGCGGGTAGCGGGAATCGAACCCGCATCATTAGCTTGGAAGGCTAAGGTTTTACCACTAAACTATACCCGCTAATAAATTAATAATATCATATATTTTTAGTTTTAGTAAAAAGTCTTTATATATTACTTAATTTAAGTTCAATTTATGCCTTCAAGTACAACTCCCAAAAATTTTGCTAAAGATGCTGCTTGCTCTTCTATTTCTGATAAAAGTATAGGTTGTCCTACTTGTGTTAAGGGTATCTCTCTTTTATCTTTTGTTTTCAAATAAATTTCTCTCTTAGGGGTTAAACCTTCTTGTATACTGACTTTAATAGAATAGATTTCATTTATCTGATATTTTAGTTGTAAAATACGATTCTTACCTGGAAAACCTAAACGAAATATAGTGATTAATTCAAGATCGCGATTAAATTCATTATAACCTGAGCCTACATTCCAGATAATGGTCAACCATAAAAATAAACTGATTAATATAGCAGTTGTACCGTAAAATATCATAATTACACCTTGAGGTAAAAACAATAAATCCATAGATTTTGTAAAAGGTAATAATTCTATTTTAAAGTAGCTAGATAGACCAGCTAAAAAAAAGCTTAATCCTCCTAGAAAAATGATTGTAGCCCAAAAATAATTACTAATCCGTCGAGATCCTAATATTTTATCTGTCTTAATTTGAGGCATTGTGTACACAGTTTTTTAATATAAAAGTTTAACTAATTTTTTGCTTAAGTACCAAAAGCAAATCTTTTGATACTATATATATTTTTTTGATAAATGCTTATATTAATTTAATTGATTGCAAACCAAAATATAAGCTCAGTGCTAATCCAGTAAATATAGTCGTAAATAATATGTAACTAATCAAAATGTACATAATATCGTTAAAACTCCTTTCGTAATTGATTAATTAAGATATATAGATTTATTAATATAATTGGGACTATATGCAATAATAAGACTATTATAAAATATAATTAATAACTATTGATAATAAAATAATACTAATTATGTGTATAGATATGAATATATCGAATTTAGTATAATAAAATCAAGTTTATAAATTATTATATAAATTTCATAGATCATATCTAATTATATATTATTTATTTCTTCTGGAGATGCAGAATTATGTCAGATTTTGTTCAATCATATAATAATGATCCTTTTGTAGGTAACTTATCAACTCCTGTAAGTACTTCAACATTTACAAAAGGCTTATTAAGTAATTTACCTGCTTATAGAAGAGGTCTTTCTCCTCTATTAAGAGGTCTGGAAATAGGTATGGCTCATGGCTATTTTTTAGTTGGCCCTTTTGATAAATTAGGTCCTTTAAGAAATACAGATGTTGCCTTATTATCAGGTTTTTTATCCGCTGTAGGATTAATTATTATTTTAACTGTATGCTTATCAATGTACGGCAAGGTTTCATTTGACAAAAATGATTCACAAGATATATTAAACACATCAGAAGGATGGGGGCAATTCACAGCAGGTTTCTTGGTTGGAGCTGTTGGAGGTTCAGGTTTCGCTTATTTACTTCTAGCAAATATACCTGTTTTACAAAATCTTGGACTAAGTTAGGGTGTGAAAAATTAATAATATTAATTAAGCGAGAAAATAATTTCACTAATTATGGTTTAAGCTAGTAAGGGGACTTGAACCCATAACCTGCTGATTACAAATCAGCTGCTCTACCAATTGAGCTATACTAGCACTTTAAGATGGTATTATATAAAATTTACTAATACCATCTTATTTAATTATCTTAAATATTCATTAGCTACTTTTCATCTCTATCTTGAGTTTTGACATCTATAGAACTTGAATTACAATCTATATAGTAATGAATTGTTTCATCAAAGCAGGTAGATGACCAACCTATAGGTGTTTCTAACGATAAATCATCTACATTTGAATCATTGTTTATATTATTAATATATTGTAGTGATTCCATAATAGTTTCTCCCTTTACTCTCTAATTTATTAGTATAGTGTATTATACATACTATCACAATTCACCTCAATTGTCACTACTTGTAGTTGATTTTTTATAGAAAATATAGACTTATATTTTAAATTTATGTAAAGATTTCATTGCTTTTGTGCATACTCTAATTTTAATCCAGTGTTTTTGCTTATATGACCATATTTTTTTAGTTTGTAGATTAATATTTTGTATTTTTTTAGTTCTTACGTGAGAATGTGAAATCTTATACCCATTATTTGATCGTTTATGTGTTAACATACATTTTTTTACCATATTGTTATTTTCACCCCTTAATCTATATGTAAATTATATTGACTGTTCCTATTGATTGCTATTTTTAATATACTTATTTAGAGTAGTTGCAAGAGTCGATTTAGGAACAGCACCAATTACAGTGTCAACTCTTTGACCTTCTACAAAAATCATAAGTGTAGGTATGCTCCTTATACCGTATTCAGTAGTTGTGCTAGGATTTTCATCTGTATTAAGTGTAACAACTTTAAGTTTATCTTGATATTCATTAGCTATTTGATCTATAACTGGTGCAACCATACGACATGGACCACACCAAGGAGCCCAAAAATCTACTAACACTGGACAACTTGATTTTATTACTTCTTCATTAAACGAAGCATCAATAACTTGTGGTACAGACAATTTATTTATCTCCTTTATTTCTTACTTGAAAAATATTAGCACAAAAAATACTGCATTTACCAATATAGGTATTTGATTATATAGATTTTTTATATTATATATTTTTTGGCATTAATAAAAATTATCATTACTATAAATAATTTTGCAATTATTTGATTCATATATAATGTTAAATTTATATATAAGGTTAATTCAACATAATAATATGAGTATACTCATATTATGAAACGAAGTTAATATTAAGGTACTAAATATTCTTTATTCTAATATTGACTATTCAACCAACAACCTAATGATACTGCCTTAAATTCAAGGAGGAATAAATGTCGCAATCTGTAGAAGAACGGACAAGAATTAAAAATGAACGTTATGAGTCTGGTGTAATTCCATATGCAAAAATGGGATATTGGGACCCTGACTATGTAGTTAAAGATACGGATGTACTAGCTCTATTTCGTGTGAGTCCACAGCCAGGAGTTGACCCAGTAGAAGCTTCTGCTGCAGTCGCAGGTGAATCATCTACAGCTACTTGGACTGTTGTATGGACAGATTTATTAACAGCTTGTGACTTATATAGAGCTAAAGCATATAAGGTAGATGCTGTTCCAAATACTACAGATCAGTATTTTGCTTTTATTGCATATGATATAGACTTATTTGAGGAAGGTTCGATCGCTAACTTAACAGCTTCAATTATTGGTAATGTATTTGGTTTTAAAGCAGTAAAAGCTTTACGATTAGAAGACATGCGTATACCAGTTGCTTACTTAAAAACTTTCCAGGGACCTGCTACTGGTTTAGTCGTAGAACGTGAGCGTATGGATAAATTTGGTCGTCCGTTTTTAGGTGCAACAGTTAAACCTAAATTAGGTCTGTCTGGTAAAAATTACGGTAGAGTTGTATATGAAGGTCTTAAAGGTGGATTAGACTTCCTAAAAGATGATGAAAATATCAACTCTCAGCCTTTCATGCGTTGGAAAGAAAGATTTTTATACTCAATGGAGGGTGTAAATAGATCAATTGCGGCAACTGGTGAAGTTAAAGGACATTATATGAATGTTACAGCTGCTACAATGGAAGACATGTATGAAAGAGCTGAATTTGCTAAACAATTAGGAACTGTTATTATCATGATTGACCTTGTTATTGGTTATACAGCAATTCAAACTATGTCTATATGGGCACGTAAAAATGATATGATTTTACATTTACATCGTGCTGGTAATTCAACATATTCTCGTCAAAAAATCCATGGAATGAATTTCCGTGTTATCTGTAAATGGATGCGTATGGCTGGTGTAGATCATATCCATGCAGGTACTGTAGTTGGTAAGCTTGAAGGTGATCCACTAATGATTAGAGGTTTCTATAATACTTTATTAATGACGCATTTAGATATCAATCTACCTCAAGGTATATTCTTTGAACAAGATTGGGCTTCTTTACGTAAGGTTACCCCTGTTGCTTCAGGCGGTATTCACTGTGGACAGATGCATCAGTTATTAGATTACTTGGGTAATGATGTTGTTCTTCAATTTGGAGGAGGCACAATTGGCCATCCAGATGGGATACAAGCTGGAGCAACAGCTAATCGTGTAGCTTTAGAAGCTATGGTAATAGCTCGTAATGAAGGTCGCGATTATGTTGCAGAAGGCCCACAAATTTTACGTGATGCTGCTAAAACATGTGGACCATTACAAACAGCTTTAGATTTATGGAAAGATATTACTTTTAATTATACTTCTACAGATACAGCTGATTTTGTAGAAACTCCAACAGCTAATGTATAGTATGTATCTATTCTTTATCTTGTGATCAGATTTATTTTCATAATATTATTAAGGAGTTTTTAATAGTGAGATTAACACAAGGAACTTTTTCTTTCCTTCCAGACCTGACAGATGATCAAATCACTAAACAGGTTGAGTATGCTATGAAGCAAAATTGGTCTATTAGTATTGAATATACTGAAGATCCGCATCCACGTAATAATTATTGGGAATTATGGGGATTACCATTATTTGATATTAAGGATCCTGCAAGTGTACTATTTGAAATAAACAGTTGTCGTAAGCAGTATCCGAATTTATATATCAAATTTAATGCATTTGATAATACTAGAGGAACAGAAAGTTGCGTACTATCGTTCATCATTAATAGACCAGCTTATGAGCCAGGTTTTGAGTTAGTTAGAACAGAAGATGTTGGTAGAAATCAAAGATACAGTTTCCGTAGTTATGCAACAGCTAAACCAGAGGGTTCTAGATATTAATTTAAATTAACAATGAAAAAAGAGATTAACAAAGTTAATCTCTTTTTCCATTATTATATATGATAATTAAGTTACCTTACAGAAAAATAAAAATATGATTGATAATACTTTAGTAAATTTACAAGAAGAATATAATAAAACTCAAATACAAGAAGTTTTAGATGAGTTGCAACAAGAACTGGTGGGTCTTCAACCGGTAAAAACAAGAATTAAAGAAATAGCCGCTTTATTATTAGTTGATAGATTAAGAAATAACCTAGGATTAGTATCTGGAAGCCCGGGATTACATATGTCTTTCACTGGTAGTCCTGGGACAGGAAAAACAACAGTAGCTATGAAGATGGCTGACATTTTACATAGGTTAGGTTATATCCGAAGGGGTAATTTAATGACTGTAACTAGAGATGATCTTGTTGGTCAATATATCGGGCACACAGCCCCGAAAACTAAAGAAGTGCTTAAGCAAGCTATGGGAGGAGTTTTATTTATTGATGAAGCTTACTATCTTTATAAACCAGACAATGAAAGAGATTACGGAGCAGAAGCTATAGAAATTTTACTGCAAGTTATGGAAAATCAAAGGGATGATTTAGTAGTTATTTTTGCTGGTTATAAGGATAGAATGGACAAATTTTATGAATCGAACCCAGGTTTATCATCGAGGGTAACGAATCATGTAGATTTTCCAGATTATACAGCCGAAGAACTATTGGCTATAGCTAAACTTATGTTAGAAGAACAACAATATCGTTTTGCGCCGGAAGCAGACGAAGTTCTGTTAGAATATGCTGGAAGACGTATGAAGCAACCTCACTTTGCTAATGCTCGCAGTATACGTAATGCAATTGACAGAGCTAGAATGAGACAAGCAAATAGAATTTTTATTAGTGGAGATAAAATTTTAACCAAAAATGATTTAGTAACAATTAAGGCAGAAGATATATTGAAAAGCCGTTTGTTTACTCAATAAACAATAATCGTATTTGTAATTTATTTTATTGACAAAGTATGGCTTTTCATATACCATTAGTTTTAATAGATATTGCGGCGATATAGCCAAGTGGTAAGGCAGGGGATTGCAAATCCTTTATCCCCAGTTCAAATCTGGGTGTCGCCTACTAAACTGATTATAAAATATGATTGGGGATGTGGTGGAATGGTAGACACAACAGACTTAAAATCTGTTGATTTTTTAATAATCGTGAGGGTTCAAGTCCCTCCATCCCCAATAGAATAATATAATTAATATATTAATTTACATAAACTGATAATATTTATTATGTGTATATGTGTAAACTGTAGGCATGTTCATAATTGCGTAACCTATCATCTAATCCAGAAACAACATAATTACCGATATAATGAGAAAATAATTAATAATTATTTCATACCAAAAGAAGCATTAATTAATATTAATGCTAATTATAGTGATCAAAATATATGGTTTGACTGGGATTTAGTAGAATGTTTATCATTTGTCGAAATTCCTGGTTATTGGATAACTTAAAAATATCTTTTTTAAGTTGCACTTATTACATCTTCATAACTATGATAAAGAATACTTGTTTAAACTTGCTTTTAGTATTTCTGTATTTACATTCGATGTTCTAATTAATGCAATTCTGCCTGTGCGAGCAATTTCAATAATACCGTATTGTTTCAATAAATTTTCAATGGCAACCATTTTTCCTGGATCACCCGTAACCTCTAAAATTAAATATTCATGAGCCATATCAACAACTTTTGCTCTAAATATATTAGCAATTTCTAATATAGATGATCTGTTTTTTAACATAGCACGAATTTTTATCAAAACTAATTCTCTTTCTACAGAAGGTATATCTGTAATATTTTGAACTTTTAATATATTTATTAATTTATATAATTGCTTAGTTAATTGCTCTATTGTTCTGTTATCACCATTTACTATCATAGTAATTCTGGAAATACCCGCTTGCTCTGCCGGGCCAACAGCAAGACTTTCAATATTAAAGCCACGTCTAGCAAATAACCCAGCAATTCTAGATAAGACTCCTGCTTCATCTTCTACAAGAACAGATAAAGTATGTTTCATAAAGTATCTCCTGATTTTTAATAAGTTTTTAACAAACTCACAATTATTGTTATTTCTAATTACCTATGTAATGTTATAATAATTTGCATATATTTCAAAACATTATTTATAAACCCAAAAACAGGCAACTCACTATCTGTGTTAGATAAATCGAAAAAAGAAAGGAAAAGAAATAATGATATAGAACCATTAATAAATGCACAAATTAAGTATAACCAAGTGCGTTTAATTGATGTTTCTGGATCTCAATTAGGTATATACTCATCTAGTGAAGCTTTAAGCATGGCATTTAATGCAGGTTTAGATTTAGTATTAATTAGTGAAAAATCTAATCCTCCTGTATGTCGTATAATAGATTATGGAAAGTATAAGTTTACCCAAGAAAAAAAAGCTAAAGAAGCGAAGAAAAAGCAACACAATGTTACAATCAAAGAAGTGAAGATGAGATACAAGATAGATGTACATGACTATAATGTACGGATCAGTCAAGCATTACGTTTTTTACAAGCTGGTGATAAAGTTAAAGCTAATGTGATATTCAGAGGTAGAGAAATACAGCATGCTAAATTAGCTATTGAACTATTAAATAAAATGGCGAACGATTTAAGTCATATAGCAGAAATTCAACAACCTGCTGCAAAAGATGGAAAAAATATGATTATGATTTTATCACCTAAAAAGCTATGATAATAATCAATTATATATTGTATAAATTATAATCTATCTTTTATTTTATTTATCTTATCTATTCCGTTAGATAAACATAATTTGTATATAATATTAATAATAAGGACAAAGAAATGTCTCGTTATAGAGGACCTAGGCTACGAATATCTAGAAGATTAGGAGATTTACCTGGATTCACACGAAAAACTTCAAAAAAACTTGCTCCTGCAGGTGAACATGGTCAACAGTCACATAAACCTTCAGAATATTCTTTAAGATTGGAAGAAAAACAAAAGTTAAGATTTAATTACGGATTAAATGAAAGACAGTTGTCAAAATATGTTAAAACAGCTAAGAAAGTTCCTGGCTCAACTGGCTTAATATTATTGCAAATTTTAGAAATGAGGTTAGATAATATCATATTTCGCTTAGGACTTTCACCAACTATTCCAGCTGCAAGGCAATTAGTTAATCATGGTCATGTTTTAGTGAATAATCAAAAAATATCTATATGTAGCTATCAATGTAAACCGGGTGATATTATCCAAATACAAGCTAAAAACTCATCACAAAATTTAGTAAAAAAATATTTAAGTTTTCCTACTTTAGCAAGTATACCTAATCATTTAGAATTAGATACAAAAATGCTAAGTGGAAAAGTCAATGCTGTAGTCGAGCGAGAATGGGTTGCTTTACAAATGAATGAACTATTAGTTGTAGAATATTACTCAAGAAAGTAATACATATAATATAATCAAAATAGTAATAAAAATTACTTACCAATTTATAGGTTGTCTACTTGTTAATGACCAAATAATTCTCTGACTAAGTATTTTTAAACCCAAAAACTTATTAGAGAATATTCGTTGTATTTTATTTTTATTCTTAACAAATTTATAGTGCTTTATAAAATCATACGATTTTTGAGAAGGGACAAATAAAATATTTTTTGTTTTTATTTCCTGATTATATTCTTGTGTTTTAATAAAATCTTCAAGATTATATACAATAACTTTAGGTTTACTTGGTATTATATAATCTGTTTTTGTACGTTTAAATTGATTCCAAGCCTTTAATAAAGTTGTATAATTAGTAAATATAGCTTTATATTCAATTGAATTATTAGACCTATAATTATAATAGTAGTTTAATAATTGCACTTTATTCGCTTTTTTATTGTATGCAAAAAAAGGTTCAACCATATATATGGGTTGTCCTTGAAAAAAATTTTTACTATATTGTTGATATTTATGAAACTTTAAATTTCGGTAATATCTATATTTGTATAGAAGTTTAGATATTTCTTCAAGATCAGCTATTAATCGAAATTGTAAATTTTTTACACTTATTCGGTTTAATTTATAATAAGTAGACAAATTGCTCGAAAAAAGAGTTAATTGATTTGTCTGATTTGAAGTAGTATGTTTACCTTTTATATGATTAGCGTATTCTACAGCATCTGTCGGATGTACGAAAAACAACCCATAATATAGAGGAAGTGCCTTATAATCTTTAATAAATTTACTACAATACCATTTGTAAATTTTATCTACAGAATTTAGATTACCTGTATTATCATCCGAAGAATCAGCTAATACTATCTGATTCAAATTATTTGTTATTGTAAATAAAGGAAGAGGTTGATTTTGCAAATGATTTATAAATGTAAATTCGTTTTTATTTGATGATAAAATGTCTTTATCAAATAATGCAAAACTCCATTTGCTTGGTAAAGGGAAGTTAAAACCTTTTCTCCAAACATAAGAAATATAGTGATTATTATTTGCATTTATGTCACTAGAATTCAAACATGCCTCAATTCTACCCGACAGTAAAGCCCTACTAAAATCAAGCAAAAATTTTTTTTGTTCATTTTTATGAATTAAAATACCTTCTAATTTCAATTGATTAGTATATTTTTCTGAATTACTGCCTGAAACGGATAAAAAAATTTTTTCTTGCCAATATTTATTAACTAATTTACTTATAAATGGACGATAAACCAAAGACTTACTCATTGTTGGAAGATGAGAATCATAACTAGATGAAAAAACATTTTTTGCAAATAACAAAGAATGTAAATGGGTATTAATATAGTACATAATTAGAAAATGAGTTAGATATAAAAATCATATATAAAATTACGAGATAAAGATAAAATTATATTTTGTATAAATATTAATTAACAATAATAAACATTATGTCTTAATATTATTATTAAATTCAGAATATATTAAAAATAATTATGGAACTGGCGGGAATTGAACCCACGTCCATAATAATATATTATACATCATTTCATTATATTACTAATTATTAGATAAGTAATATAACTTAAGAAAGATATGATTTAATATTATAGGAATTTATTACTTATCTTCATATATTAATTTCTTGATTAATATTAACGAAAGAGCAACCAATTTTAATATATCAAATAAATGTATAGGTTTACACTATTTGAATTCTAATAAAAAGTATGTGGTTATAGGATTTTCATTTAATAAAATAAATGTTATCAATTTAAGCACAAACTAATTTTCTAGATAAAGGTAATATGTTATTTTTAGCATTTATTATTAGTATTAATAAAGCTATATTTATAGCATAATATATAATATATTATATGTAGAAACCTTACAGTCCCTCTTTTTCTTTAACAGAATATAAGTGAATATTAACACTTTATATTATACAACAATAAAATAAAATTTTTTATAGTTTTTGTTGATAACTCAACTAATTAAACCAAGACTCTTTCTACTCAGATAAAAATTCAAATTCTTTTTTAATTATTAATTTTTATCTAATTTTATATATAAGTACAATATAATTAGTTATTGAAAAGATAGCAAATACATTCTTCGTTTGTACCGAATAAGCATGGAAGGACTTGAACCCTCGACTTTCAGAATCGGAATCTGACACTCTATCCTCTGAGTTACATGCTCTACTTGCAGTTATTTGATTTAATATATTACAAAATATCTATAAACTTTTTATAAATTACTATAAATTGTATCATAAAATTTAAATCATATAAATAGTTGAAATTTATATAATATATTAAGATATACACGATATATCTAAATATCTTAATAGTTAACTCTGAGTATAGTTTTGAGATAACAATAAACATAAATTCGCTTTATATAATTCTTTAGATATATATTGTATATGTTGTATAGATAACAAATTTATACATTCATGTTGAGTCATTAATTGGTTAATTGAAGTATAATCATATGCCGTTAAACAAATAGGATAACTACAAAAATTTAAATTGTTGTTTCGGAAGACAAAGCATGCAATTGTATGATGATTTATAATTTTAATTATACAATAAGAAGAATCCATCGAATATACGATTATATTTTATGTTTGTTAGCATTTTATTATACTATATATTTTATATTTCTAAATTATAAATAGTAACACAATATATCAAAATGATTAAAATGAATTATAATATCTATGTTAGTTCAACTTGATAGGAGATATAAGTAATGCAAGATGCTATTACTACAATTTTAAATCGATATGATTTAACAGGAAAATATTTAGATAAAATAGCAATAGAAGAATTAAATAGTTACTTCGTAACAGCTTCAAATAGAATTAAAGTAACAGAAATTATCAACTGTAAGGCTGCTAAAATAGTTAAAGAGGCTGCTACACGATTATATGAAGAACAACCAGAACTTTTAAGGCCTGGTGGTAATTCTTATACAACTAGAAGATATGCTGCTTGCTTACGTGATATTGAATATTATTTAAGATATGCAAGCTATGCAATAGTTGCTGCAAACACTAATATTTTACAAGAACGAGTTTTAGACGGACTACGAGATGTATATAACTCGTTGAGCGTACCAATTGCACCAACTGTTAGAAGTATAAAACTGTTACAAGATATCATAGAAGAAGAAATAAAATCACAAAATATTGATGCAATAAAATTTGTTGTTGAGCCATTTCAATATATGATTAAAAGTTTGAGTGAACAGGATCTATAAATCATCCTATTATAATAAGTATTGTAAACAATATCAATTAATACAAATATTTGATCTGTATATAATTGATTTTTACATTTATATAGATCAAAAATATATTAATTAAGAAATAAAAAATGCTCAAAGAAAATTTTAATGCAGTAATAATTCAGTTAATTAGCCTATTTTTAGGTTTTTTTTGTCCACAGTTTTTTCGACTATTCCATCACAAACAGGTGATTGGGCAATAATAGCAGGATCTATAATAGTAGCTATTAATGAAATTACAAGTAAAAACATATATAAATATTTAAGAAGGAATCATAAATTTCTTCGTTTATATGTACTCAATTATATTCGAATAGGTATTATTTATGGATTATTTGTAGATGCTTTTAAATTAGGTAGTTAAAACCAAGTGCCAAAAATTATAAAACCACTAGAACAATGACATTTGTACACATCTTAAAATATAATTTTTAAGACAATTCTTAAATATATTAACTTAGAATTGTCTAAATACTAAAAAGTTACATTTATGTTGATTATTAAAGAAACATTTTTACATTTTTTCTAGAAATGTTTGTAATAACTAAATATCATTAACCATATTTAAAAATAAAGCTGGATCCCCTGCTTTTGGCTGTTGTTCTTGAGGTCGAAATTTTCTCACAGGTCCAGCCCATAATAGTTGTGGCATCCCTTGTTTAATGGCAAAATTTTTGCCCATACGAGGAGTTTTTAAATTAAAAGGTACCTCACCTTTACTTCTTTGTGCAATCACTCTTCTCCTTTGATAAGGAACTGTATTATCACCAAAATTTTCTATATACTCATCACTACTCAATAACATATTGACAAAAGTTTTCAAACCTTTGGAAGCAATTATAATTGAAAAAGCCAGTTTTTCTCTTTGATTATATATGTCTCTTCCTAATACTCTTTGAATACACATTTCTACAAAACGGTAATTATTATTCACATTGTAATTAAAAGTAAGGAATGGTTCGGATAACAACAATCCCTTGATAAAATCTTTGACTTTAATTTGATTAAACCTTAATTGTGACTCTAAAAAAGGTTGAGCTGTTCTACTTAAAATTTGATGCTCACTAAATATTTGGCGATAAGCAGCCCAAATTATTTCATCCATCTCCTCTGCTGCTGGAACATCATCTGTACTATATATTTTAGGCTGCTCTTCACCTGGCAAGTATTCAAAGCCATCTACCCTTTGATTTTGTGTAGATAATGAATAATTTAGTAAAGGTATAGACATAAAACCTCCTAATTGATCTTATAGACAAAATATTGACTTCAATTTATATAAGATATGTACATATTATAGCAGTGTGATTTGTATGACACACTTTTGTAACCATAATTTTAAGCTATATATTAATTATATACATATTTATAATACAATATTATACTGGAATTAATAAACCAAATGATTTTGAATCAACTGATATTAGTAAAATCTTCTTGATTATAATTATTTAAAGTTTAAACTCTATATTTTTAATTATTATTAGGTAAGAATTAATAAGTAATATGGATACCAAAAACCCATTAACTCTTGAACAAGAATTCAAGCTGACTATCTATCGTAAAAAAGTTGATCAACTAAGCGATAAACAAATTAGAAAACATCTGATATTAACTTTGAAGCAAATGATAATCAAAGATAATATAATTAAATATTTTATTAAAAATTCTCTATCTTAACTCATCTAAATATATTCTATTAAATTGGAAATATTAAATAATATTAATTTGTTATAGATATAACTGCTTGAATATCTTATATTGTATCAGCGATACTAATACATCAGCTGAAAAGTATAACAGCTGAAACAGCTAAGTCCTTTATATTAAAATTTAAGGAGAGCTATATGCTTGATGGATTTTCTAGAGTTGTAATGAATGCAGATGCTAAAGCTGCTTATGTTGGTGGCAGTGATCTACAAGCTCTTAAAACTTTTATTTCAGAAGGTAATAAACGATTAGACGCTGTTAATTCTATTGTTTCTAATGCTAGTTGTATCGTTTCAGATGCTGTATCAGGAATGATTTGCGAAAACCCAGGACTTATAGCTCCTGGAGGCAACTGCTATACTAATCGTAGAATGGCAGCTTGCTTACGCGACGGAGAAATTATTTTAAGATATATTTCTTATGCTCTTCTGGCAGGAGATGCTTCTGTTCTAGAAGATCGCTGCTTAAATGGCTTAAAAGAAACTTATATTGCTCTTGGAGTTCCTACTAACTCTTCTGTAAGAGCTGTTAGTATTATGAAAGCTGCTGCTGTTGCATTTGTTACCAATACAGCTTCTAAAAGAAAGATTGAGATAGCTAGTGGAGATTGTTCTGCACTATCTTCAGAAGTTGCTAGTTATTGTGATAGAGTATCTTCTGCTATTTCCTAAATAATATTGAGTATATAAAAAGATTCAAGATAACCTACAAATATATTAATCTACAGGAGATCAATTAATGAAATCAGTTATTACTACTGTAATTAGTGCAGCTGACGCTGCTGGGCGCTTTCCATCTAGTTCAGATCTTGAATCTGTACAAGGTAATATTCAACGCGCTGCTGCAAGATTAGAAGCAGCAGAAAAACTAGCTGAAAATCATGAAGCAGTTGTAAAAGAAGCGGGTGATGCTTGTTTTGGTAAATACTCTTACTTAAAAAGTGCCGGTGAAGCTGGAGAAAATCAAGAAAAAGTTAACAAATGTTATAGAGATATAGATCATTATATGAGATTAGTTAACTATTCACTAGTTGTAGGTGGCACTGGCCCTCTTGATGAATGGGCTATCGCTGGTGCTCGTGAAGTATATCGCACATTAAATCTTCCAACTGCAGCTTACGTTACGGCTTTTATATTTACTCGTGATAGATTATGTGTTCCTAGAGACATGTCTGCACAAGCAGGAGTAGAGTATGCGAGTGCATTAGATTATATTATTAATTCTTTATCATAATTTAATACAATATATAAATAAATCATCATCTAGTAATCAAACTATATTATATGAGATAACTTGATTGATATTTAAAACAACCAAAATTAAATATTTTAATTTTGGTTGTTTTTTTATAATAACTTATTGATTAAGTATTTTAAGAATAATATTAAATTAATGTATGATATATTTATGATTAATTTGAATTAATCTGAATAAATATTATGAATAGGATATTAATGGAAAACAATTGTATTAATATATCTTTCGCACTGTTTCTTATAAACTTAATGATATATTGGATTAATATAGCGTTCAAAAAATCAAAAGTTTTATATAAATTAGGTACTCTAATTACCATTAGCATAAATCTATTACTTAGTGCTTCTTTAAGTTTAAGATGGATATATAATGGCTATTTCCCTTTAAGTAATTTATATGAATCATTAATTTTTCTAACATGGGCACTAAATTTCTTACAATTAATATTAGAACAACAAAATAAAAGCCCATTCATAGGCTCTATTACTACACCAATAGGTTTATTTACTATAGGATTTGCAAGTCTTTCATTGCCCGAAAATATGCAAGAAGCTTCTCCACTAGTTCCAGCACTCAGATCTAACTGGTTAATGATGCATGTTAGTATAATGATGATAAGTTATGCAACACTAATACTGGGTTCTTTATTGTCTATTCTATTTCTTATTTTATATAATATAAGAAATAGAGCTAACAATAATATGCAGTTAAATAGCTATACACAACAATTAAGTAGAATCAATCTTCTACAAAGTATAGACAATTTAAGTTATCGAGTAATTGGACTCGGCTTTCCTTTACTAACTATTGGAATTATAGCTGGAGCTGTATGGGCTAATGAAGCTTGGGGTTCTTATTGGAGTTGGGATCCTAAAGAAACATGGGCTTTAATAACTTGGCTAGTATTTGCAGCATATTTACATTCAAGATTAAATAAAGCA